CACACAAACGCGAACAATTTTGCTCGAGAAGGAAACGATAACCTCTGACTTGCGAGGCAATTTGACAAATAGTTCAAGGTGGCTTCCTCCCGCGATTTTTCTATCGAAGCCTTTTACTCCATTCGCTAAGCGCAAGCTGCACGAATCTCCGGCCTCTTGCAAATCTCTGCTTATGGATAAAAAACCCTGTCTCTGTCCTTGTGTTGCAGAACGTGCATCGCGGAGGGCAGGGACAGTCGGGGGCGCTAACAAGTGCATACGAGATCTCCTCTTTCGCTTCCTCATCGCCTTCCCCCCTCGCTATCTTCCCTTCGTTCGCGAGCTCGCTCTCGCAACAGCATCAACGACCGACGACCTATCGGCCGCTCCTCCGTCGGGACGATCAGTTCCAAATAGTTCAAGCCGTGGACCCTCTGATACCCACGCAAGCGGAGGAACTTCGTCAGGCGCAATCCCCCGCCTACGCATCCGCCGCTGATGCCGCGGACTATCAGGAGCAATTTTATCGCACGGCTGACGTAGCGTCCGCGTCGCCGACATCGTCCCCGTATCATCCTCACCCATCGCCGCGCTCGCGCACCCGCCTGGCCGAGCCGCAACAAAATTCGTACGCGAGGCTCTTGCACTTCCAAGGCGACAGGAGAATCGACTCGTTCGTGCGTTACTGATCGCGTCACGTATTCTCTAAAGCTTTTCGAGTGTGAGTCTCATTCTGAAGAGTGAAAATTCACTCTTTAGAGTGAGATTCCACTCCAAAGAACTTAGAGAGAACCTATCGATCAGACATGCTCGATCTCTTACGCCCCGGTCTCTTGTTCTATATGCAAAAAGATGTTCCTCGTTCCTCTCTCGCGTGCCGTTTTGTTCAGATAAAATTCCGATCTTAGAAAAGTACGAATTTTCCGGCTCGAAACTTCATTACGTTGTTTGAAAAAGCGATATTTTAATGATTATACAATCACTAAACCATTTTGCTTTGTATAATAAGCGAGACTTTTATAAATTCATCGATTGATATCAATCGCATTATGCGCAAATGCAACTTTGCTACGTAAAAACTGCATTTGCGTCATAATGATGAATTAAAAAACTCGTCTTAGCTATAGTCGTTTTTATACTTTCATTTTTCCCTTCAAATTGTAATAAAAATTACTACAGCAGTTTCTCGTACATGTCTTTCTGAAATTTGTACACCACAAATTTTGAATACCTACAATATAGAAGAATGAGGAATTTCTTAGATGTTCATTTTTGCTTTAATTAATATTTTACATGAAAATTTCTTATATAAAAACGTGCTCTTTTTGGAGAGTCTCGAATTTTTTTACGTATGTATATACCTACGCGGGTGATATATAACATAACACGTATAATATATATGTATACATATACACACATATACGGTTCACGCGCGCATGTGTGTACTATATATTTTTGATATTTTTGTACTCATTTTCTATATACACATTATGTATTATACATCAAATAAAAATATTTTTTACAATTTGGAGCTTTGCCTATATCCCCAAGCATGATCTCGACAAATATAACAATTATCTATTAATTAACATCATTCCACGTTTTTAATTACTTGTTGCTCTAAAGAGTCGTTCTCGCGTGAAAGTTAAACGGAGCGTAAATTAATGAATAAATAAAGTAAAAGAAAGGTGCGGTATTCATTAAAGATTAACTTCACGAGAACGACTTTACAGAAAGTAGTCTACGATATTGGGTGAATTATCAATAAATTTAGTTCCGCTCGAATGCGCATTAGCGGATAAAGGTTGGACGATGTGATTTCAGTCGAAACTTAACTGCGAGGTTCTCGAGGACAGCTTAGCTTTCGAGGTGCGATGGGCCGTGGCCGGAGATAGCATTGTCATCCAACTGGTCGCAAAGCTAGGTAAATATAGACAGCCACGTTGACAGAGTCGTGGCTTCGACAGCGGTCGAAGAGATGTCGAAAAGGAGAACCGAGAGAAGACGTCTAACGTTAACGATCTCTAACATGATCTTTAATGCGTGACTATAAAAATCGAATTGTTATGACAGATGCCGGACAATACATGTCCTTCGGATTGTCCGCGGACACGGAGAAGAGCGCGATGGTCGGTGGGGACGTCACCGTGGCCTGGGTCGACAAGCAGACCCTGCAGGGATACGCCATCGATTACTTTTTGGACGCGAAGTCTCAGTGCTCGGGACGTCGTGGTAGCTGCCCAGACAGGCGCATACAGGTATTTCCAAGAGGAACACACAAAAAGTCAACGAACAAAATACCTAAATAGTTTTACATCGTTTTAATTTACATTTGTGACGACAATAAATATATTATAACAGAGCTCTTAATCTTAGAAATGATATATATTTTGAAAAATGAGCAATTGAGAGCTATTATTAATCTATACACTATCGACGTTTTGCTTTTTTCGCTGTTCAAAATTTTGCAATAAAAAATGATTATTTTGACTTTTTCTTGACTTGGTGTGTTTCTTAGATTATAAATAAAAAGTTAAACGCGCTTAACGTTTGTGTCAGAGAGATTGAGGTTGAATTTGATTAAGCAAAGCAAAAACTTGATACTGGTTTTCTTTCCTCGGATTGTCAATTTCAATCTCAATCTCAATCTCTAATTTGATACGGGGATAAAACTTTCATTTACAAGAAACATACCACAATTATCCGGAAACAATTTGATTCTCCTTGAAGTATACTATCATTAAGATACATTATCGTTCCACGAATTGTCTCCCATAGCGAAGACTTATTCTTCCGTAGGAGAACACGGACTCGGTGCGGTTGTTGAACGCGGCGATGGTGAATGGCTACAGCATCGTCACGTACCAGAGACCGTTGAAGGCCAGCGATGAGTTGGACCAGAAGATACTAACGAACGGATCGCAGGCAATAATCTGGGCTATCGGACCGCTGAACGATCGGCAGGAAGTCAGTTTCCACAGCCACTATCTGAAGACCGATCGGTTCATCGAGTTCGGCAGACCGCCCGCATGGAACTGCCCCATGCCGGATCAGGAGCCTTCTCATGGTGATGCTAACGAGACGGCAAGCAGCAGTCAAGTAAGCATCAAAGCGTATATAATTAACACATTATAACACATAATATATGCATAATAAGCATATAAAATTAAGATAATTATTACTTGGCGCCTGATTTTCAATGACACTTTGGTGGATGATTGACGCAGTCGAAATTTCGTAAGTTGCTTTACAAACAATAAATTAAAATTTTTGAATGCCACAAATAATTAGATATAGTAATTAAAGCAAAAAGAGCATTTGTCAAACTCAATTGTCATGTTAAAGTCGCAGTTTAGAATCAAAATCTATTTGAGTTAAGAGGGAAGTTATTTAATATCATCCGTATATTGGCGCATGACAAAACAATATTATTTATATTTTGGTATGTCTTACCATTGTTTGAAAAATGCATTGAAATAGCTCGTCATAAGAAGGCAGCAACGTGTATCGGCGACTCCTGCACCAGCTCCTACGACCGACGCTTGGGAGATACCACCGATTCAGTGTAATGAGCCGGACGACGGTGTCTTCTATGCACAAATGGGGCCCACCGGAGGAAAACACGGCTACCCGGCTATTACTGGTAAGAAATCGTGGTGCTTGATATAACATTGGGATACCGTCGCCTAATTCGAGTCCAGAAACATTATTTTGCGTGATGCGATATGCAAATTTGCATGTATATATATCACTGCACAGAACCATCATCACAAGAACATTTGTTCTTGTAACAAATACTACAGTCGGTAAAGTCAACAAACTTTTAGCAAATTTCTCCCGGCACAAAGTTTCGTTAATAATTTACAAAACGCAATACAATAAAATAAAAATTTCAATCAACACTGCTTTTATAAACACTTTAAGTTTTATTAACGTACTTTACTTTTTATGCAGAAAGTAAAAGTATGTACATACATACGGATTTTATTTCTTTTTGTGACATTTATCACGTACTTTGAAGATTTGGGGCACACTTTTAGACTTTCGCGAAGCTAATCAAAATTCGCATGGCACTCAATCTTCGAAATGCTCGCGAGAAAGTCCTTGCACAAATCGCAAGAAAGCCGCATCACATCTATACTCCAAACCGGTCTCCGATTCACTTTCTCCAGGTCACGTTGGTTGGGGGATCTCTTGGTATATCAATGGATTGCTGATACCCGTGATTAATGTAGTGCGGGGCAGGAGATACACTTTTGTCGTGGAAGGCGGTTTAGATCCCGATATCCCGGCGCGTTATCATCCGTTCTACATCACAGATGACCTGATAGGCGGGTACTATCACAAAACAGCTGAGGAGAAAGCGGTAAATTGTCTTGCATGCAAAATATTTTTGATGAAAAGAATATTAGCTCTGCCAAAATGTACAATAGATTCATTATTATTTGTTATTATTTCCATGAAAGCAAGTGGCTGAAGGAAGTCACATATTGCCGTGTAATTTCAATCGAAAATCTCCCTATCGTTATCTAATCTCCGTTTTCACCAAAGTATAGATTAACTTAAATCTCGGTCCAATTTATTCCTTCATCTTTTTCTAGATTTAAATATTAGAAAAAGATGAAAAGTAAGTTGAACCACAACATTAAAGTTAATCTGCATTTGTAGAAATGGACATATAAGCAGCGTTCTCGATAAAAAAACGAATATATAAAATACCATAGAATCTGCGGTAACGCGAATGGTACATGGTTGTTCACTCTCTGATCTTGACAGAAAGTAAAGATATTCGCTGGTGTACGTCGGCAACGCGGCAAGGTCACCCCCACTGGCGTAGGTCGCCTCTGTAACTGGGTGCCAGATCAGAACCAACCACCCGCGGATGATTTCGCGTCCTTCGGTGCTTATCAGCGCACCCTGACTCTCGAATGCGACCACGGCGAGCCGGGTATTGTGGAGTGGACCCCCGATGAAAATACCCCTGACACGGTGTATTATCAGGTAATCCGTGTCACAACACGAGAAAAGTATCACAGCGCCCCTAACATCGCAGTGAGAACAAAAATTGTTAATCTGAGTGTGTAGTGATTATTTTATTAGTTCAAATATTTATATGTTTAGCTTAAGAAAATTTTGTAAAAAATTTAAAACATGTTATTTAAATTAACAAATATTTACTTGACAGCCCGTGATCGTTACATTTGGTTGAACAACTAATATTTTGTTGAAACAATTTTTTTTCTCAGTGTGTAAGGATTTGAACCTAATCTCTAAAATTTTTTTAGAGTGAATCTCACTATGAAGAAAATGCAATTTCTTTTAAAAATTGAAAGTTGAGTCATCTTTTTTCAAGACCGCTTCAGTTTTTCACTCTTCAAAATAAAATTTCACTCCAAAGAACTTAGACAGTAAACTTTTCAGCTCTGGTTTTGCATACTAGGCAGTTACTCTACCACTAATTGCGTGAGCCCGATATATTTATCTGATTTTGCACGGTCGAGATACTGCATGTTTTTTGTTTCCAGTGTTTCACGCATCGTTACCTAGGCTGGAAGATCAATGTTCTCGACCGCTGCGACGTCAGCGAGGCGTCACCGGCGGCTAGCGAGAAGCACGAGGTGTACGCGGAACCGGGCCAGAATCATCAGGACCTGGAATACGGCGCTAGTATTTCCGTGCCGAGCAAGGTAACGCCAACGGCGGAGTTCCTTCATCAACAGCATGCCCATCATTCTCATCGCGAATACGGCCACCGTTACCCTCATCATCATTCAACGACTAACAGCAAGTTAAGCGTTTCACATCCTCAGCTACTAACGAACGCCAATAACAATTACGATCGCTTGCAATCATCATCGTCGTCCGAAACCTCATACGAGGTACATCCGAGGGACGCGCATCGCGTTGACGAGGAGATCCTGCCGCAGCAGAAGCAACAGAAGTCGCAGCAACACCGATCGGCCACGATCGTTCATGAATCGCCATCATCTCTTCACGCTGGAACTCATCTCACCGAGCTCGCGCGGGAGATTCAGCATACCGCCACTAACCAGGAATTGTCTAACCTCGTTGCAGATCACCAACGACCATCACTGAGTCATGGGACAAGGTTGCCCTACGTAACAGCGGCCATCAGCAACACCCAACTACCGTTCTCCCGAGCGCCGCATCATTACGCGAGCAATTACCATCACTACGTCCGTCATCAGCTTCCTTCGCCTCCTTCTCGTTATTATCATCAGCTCGAACCACCGAGGACCCAACTGATGATCATCCGCCGACCGATGACATTAACGCGCCATCCGATGTTGCAGACGTTACAGCAGGCCGCCAATATGATAACCACAGGCGCGTTATCGTTGCCATTCCCGTTCTCCTTCGGTTCATCATCCTCGCCGCGGCCGATCCTCATCGAGCGCAAGAAATCCATTTACCGACCACCCATTGCAATAGCAACGCTGAAGACGACGCCGAGGACGATGGCTGACATGGCGTCGCTATCCGAGAAACTCACGGCGAAGATTGACACGAAGCAACGTACGAAATTCGAGGCGAAGGTAGGATCGGATTCGGACTTCACCGAGAATCACTTGGGCCCCCCCTGGAAGCTTTTGAAACCCGCGCGCAACACCGGCTTCGATCCCGATTCCATCGTCATCGAGAGCGGCTTCAAACCGATCATCAGAAATGTCTTCGACAAAGCGCCAGATGTAGCACAGAAGAGGCTCTCGGGAATGTGGCAGGACGGGCCGCTCAGAAAGAACGGGGATTATCGTACGATCGACGAGTTCTCGCCCGTCTTCGTACCGTCGCTACCCGTGACATCGTCCACGATCGACGGCGGCAGGAAGCGGAGGAAAAAGATATCTTCCACGCGTTCTCCACCCCGTTTCGACGATATCGACGATATGGAAATGGCGGCCGATCTCAGACTAGACACCTACTATCTGCCGCCAATCGGGAGGACTAGGTCGGAGGAGTTGCCGTCACCTTCCTCCTCTGGTGTCTTAATCACCTACGACGGTAAGAAGTTGAGGGACCCCACCGGCCTGGCCAGATCCATTTCCGACGCTGAGCATTACACCAAGGGCCGGTTGACCTCGGATATTCTTAGTAGAACACCGCAGTTCGGTAAGTTCCAGGGTGAGCTTCCGCCGCTGATCCCCGGAGAGATGCGTGCAAACGGCTCGAACCCTCTCTCGAGCTATGGGAAGAAGAACCGTCTAGCGGCCGTCGATCTATCGCCGCGTCAACAACTGCCGAAGACGAGCACGAGGCTGAAGCTGGTGGAGAGGTCGAAGAGATCGCCCCTGGACGTCGGTCGCACGATGTCCAGCGTGGACTTTCAGCATGAACATCGAGAACGCGACCGAATTGAAACGGTCAACGGCGGAACACACCTCGGCGATCTCGGATGGGTCGTTCTAATCGCGATTGCACGTCTCGCGATCTGAGAGATCCGGCGACCGACCTCGTGTCCTCCGACGAAGGCACGCCGTATCCTCGACGGGACGTCGGAAGGGATCGAAAGACGTTAATCGTCTTGAGCGCGCCCATGTGGCTCGCGACGACACAGGATCGTTCGGGAATAGTAGACGATATACTCTCCAACTGCGTTAACACCGGGGAAGGCATTACTAACCACTGAGAAAACCGCTGGTTTCCTATACAGTAGTACAATCCACCTGTCAAGCTCGCGTCTCGCATCTCTGGTACTTCGATCCGCCCTCGATCGTGTTCTTTGCGCGGTGATCATTATAGCCGCCGAATACTCATTTACATTCCTTCCATTGATTTGGAACTTTCATTTGCAAGCATTTTTATAATTTAATACTCTTAGCCATTGTTTAAAAGAAGAAATAGTATTTTATACGTTAATCTCTATGCACTCGTTCACTTTCCTGTTCCGATATTAGAGGGCCCGGTTATGTAATTTACATATCAGAATTATAATTATATACAGAGATATTGTATATAATTATTTAAAAAAAAAGATAACATACAAAATATAACGAAAATATATATTAATAAAATATACGATACAGATATACAATACATATAGGTATATACATGCAGAAAATGTAAATTCATTGTAATTAAAAAGATAAACTTGCATTTTCCAGGTTATAGTTTGGATTTTTTACATTTGAATTGCTTTGGACGTTCATGTAATAGTATCTCGTGTTCTCATTGATTGCAAACGCTCTTCTAGGATTTAAAGTTTTAATCTTATCAATTTTAAAGTTTCATAATTTCATGATTTCATAATTTTCAATATCATCAAAATAATACATATATAAATAACTTTAAATTGTTTTTTGAATTTGAAAATTATGAAATCATGGAATTATGAAACCTTAAAATTACTAAGATTAAAATCTTGGATCACGAGGAAAGCGTCTGCAATCAATAAGATTAGAAGATACTAAGTACTGTGTGAATATCCAATGCAATTGAAATGCGTAAAAAATCTAGGTAATAACAAGTTTATCTTTCCTATTGTAATAAATCTACATTTTCTGATATCATGATGTTACGATGCATTACGATAATTGATAATAAAATTGGTAATAAAACAGACGCGTGAAAATCCGATCGAGTTTCCAAAATACCGGCTTAAAACTTGCGCAGGAGGCGTTTGCAGCAACAGGTACTCGTTGAGTTTTGCTGACATATTTTTGTAAATAAGTTAAAATATTTGTTAATAAAGGTAATCTCGACACAGTTGTCTCCAAGTTGTGTGCATTACCCTGCTTCTAAACACAATCCAGAAAATTCGATCTATAGATTCAGAATAATAGCAAACTTCCGATAAACTTTATTACTTGCTTCATTTAAATTAGATTTTAGTACAATTTACAACAAAATTTATGGGTTAATTCTAAGCAGAATCGTAAGACTCGTAACTTAATTGTTTTTGTAAAATTTGTAAGAACTTATGAATAGTATTCTAATTTTATGCTTATGTATCGTAAGACGTACGATTGTTAGTATCTATGACTTCTTGTAAATCTTATGACTAGTAAAAAGTTGTCTGCAAAGATATTATATAAAGGTATAAGTACTTAAAAGTTCTTACAAGTCTTATGAGAATATGTGTTACGATTCTGCTTATAATTTAGATATTAGATTCAGATAAATAACAAAGAATTAAATATTAAAAGAATTTGAATATTGATATATGATACCTTCTTCTAGATAAATTTAACTTAAAGAACGTATAATAAAATGCCGTTTTCGTTAAATACATTTTTTAAATAATTTTTCAGAATTTTTTTGTTATGATATATTTTATCGTAGATTTGATGATACCTTATATAAGATGAGACAGATTCACAAATACGATATTAAGCAATGTTTTATTGTATACAATAAAAAACAAGTCTTACAAAACGATCAACACGCACAACTAGTGTGTACACAATGTTAATATTACAGTATACGAGAAAAACCGATAAAAGCCACTTGCCATGAATAATAATAAAAAAAAAAGGATAATTTGTACGACCTGTAACTATGCTAATTTTCATTTATTATCTATTGCACGTAAATTTACGACAATTTTCGTGTTTTTACGGGACGTAAGGATTTTAATACATTTCATCTATAAGAAGAAACAGTAGAAAATTCTACAAATATAAATATTACTATTCAAAGTTTCATTAATTTGACTGCTGCAAAAATATGAGCATAAAACACACACATACATCCATGTCCGCAAGCATCTGTTGCATGTTTAGCGTTGACGAGCATAAAATGTATATTCCGTAATTTTGCGTAATTATGTAATTGCTACGTCTATACTGGTAATACCTCTTTTCGCGAGAGAATGATTTTAAATTAGCAATCTCTATCGACTAAAGTTTCAAACCAGTTACCATTAGGATATTGCATTATCAGACGACAAAACAATGATGCCACAAGTAATTATAATAATTTCTTCAATTATTATATTAAAGATTTTCTACAATTTCCTGATTCGTTAAAAAAGATTTCATGATCATTTTACCTAACAAGTAGCTATAAAAGAAAAGATATTCTTCAAACAAACAAGATATAAAATAAAAAGCAGCTTTATATTACACTATATAGTATATTTTAAAAAATCCGGTTTAAAGCGTATTTTACAATACTTTTTCAACTGATGGAATAATGACGTGTAAAAAAATCTGATTCTATTTTGAGTCTTAAAAAATATGTAAAAGTAATGAATGCAATTTTTCGTTGTCGACATGACAATCTGGTGTTGTATACAACGTCGGTGACTGATCCAAAACTTTTAAGAGGTATGTATATACGGATGTAATTCGTGTCAAACAACCAAACGGTAAAACACTTTAAACGCGGAGAAATTATTATTCTTAATAACATGATTAGCAACGCATATATATTTACACATGTTTATACATATTACAGGATATGCTATATCATCATTAATTATACAAGTCTAATAATAAGACAGGTTTGAACACTCGGTTAATTATTTTTCTACGCTTTTATAATGTACAGATTTTTATACACCCCCCGTCATAATATCTCGGTGATAATATTTATCCTTATAAATGATCGATAGGTTCTTCTATATATATATATATAGAGCATTGTAGATTGCTACTTCTCTATTGCATATGTGCGACGGTCGATTAATTCCAAGTTTTATCGCGTATACTGTAATTCGATTAGATGCCTTTTTTATCATTAGATATGTTTATACTGCATCTTCAAAAATATCGACAGAAAAGTAGATTCTAATTAATGGACATTACATCTTTGTTTAAATTTTCACTTATAAAAGTACTATAAAGAATATTAAAATATCTTATAATAGATGTGTTATAATATATTAAATATCACTTCCTTTAGAGGAAAAATTGAATATAAGATACATAATATATTATGGAAAAAATTGATCAGGGAAAAACATTCTTTCAAACGTATTCTTACAGAGGTGCAGTATATATAGTTTTAAATTTGATTTAATAATCTTCACATCTCCTTTAAAAAATGCCATAATTTTTGGCGCTCTTTTATCAGACACGTTATATGTCAATTTAATATAATATAATTGTCAAAAAAATCTTTATTTATTATAATCTCTCTCTCTCTCTTAACGCATGTTTCCGACAGGCAGCAATGTCAGACAAGTATTATGCGTAAAAAAGAAATAAGAAAGGATGTTCCGCATTTTCTACTATTTTATTAAATGAAAAATTCTAACGACTTAATAAAGTTACAAAAACTTTAATGTATTGCTAATTCATAAAAATATGATTGAAAAATTTATTACAAATTTAGACATAATGTAAGGCATAATATTTGCAACACAATCAGTCGTTGTATTTTTCATATCAGTGCACACACACACACACACACACACACACACACACACACACACACACACACGCGCGCGCGCGCGCGCGCGCGCGCATATGTATACACACATATATATATATGTATACCCAGTATACATTTTTTAATCACAAATGGCACTTATTTGATTAAAAATTTGTTCTAAAGGAAATAAATAGTTTCCTGATAAATTGTGCGTCAGACGAGTAGACAAGAAAATTTTATATTATTCTTTCCTATAAAAGAAGTGAAAAACAATCAGTATCTCTATAATATATTGTATAACAAATAAAAAAAATTTTTATGTATTTTTTTATCAATTAAAGATAGCTAATATAAATATTCATTATATACATTGAATACCTATATTTTACTTGTCTTTACCATACATTACATTCTTATAAGTACTTCTCGGAATAATTAGTTTTCTGAATAATAAATAAAAATAGTTAATGTTATTAAATAAGGAGAAAATAGATTTTTTGAAAAAATTTTTAACTGATATATACTTTTATGTCCGCTACATTTTCTGAAGACATAAGATGTCCTAAATTGGTAGATAGACGAGTTTCTGTGCAATTTACTAATAAAATTAAAAAAAAAAGCTAGATATTTTTTTATGGAAATACAAAAACATATTTAAAGAATTCACGTGATATCTATAAACAAAGCATATTTAAAGAATTCATGTGATATCTATAAACAAACTAAAATTAAAGTTTATTGATCCAGAGAAATTTTTCTCTACGGGATAATTTTTATTAAATAATCATTTTTTATACATAAAAATGATCTATATTGAGATATTAGCACAAACTCAATTACTCAAATCATGATTTATATTATTATATGTACATTAATGATATAGTTGATGTCTTTGCAAATGAAGCTTTTGATATTTTACGCTTTATATTTGTAGATTAACATATGTCATAATGTAGATAAGCGCGTGCATTCAAGTTTTTAAACAAAATTGTTCAAAACAATGTGTCATAAAACAAATTGTTTACAAGTCGAATAAATTTATAGGATTGGTAAATGTATTCCATCGTGTTTTACGCGAAAAGATAAAATCGTCATAAATAAAGGTAAATACTTTTACCTTTTGTTCGAAAGACTGAAAGAATATATATTATGAAAGAAGTAAACCTGATATAAAATAATAATACCGAAAGATTGATCACATTGCTAACATGAGCATAAGGACATAATTAATAAGTTTTTGTCCATTTTCATCGTCATTATCATGTTTAATTTTAATAAGCGATGAAATTTCATAATTGTTCATTTAATTCAAACGTTCTATCATGTATACGTATGAATGTCACGAATTATACCAATATGTAATTAGAACATAGTGGCCACTTGTCCTTTTTTTTGAATCCTAAATGTAAAATAAATATCGCGAAACTTTATCTTTTCTTACGATAGAAAGTATAATTAAGTAGTAGAAAATGTGGAACCGTATATATATCTATACATGTGTGTATCACTATGTTAATATAATATATTAAATAACATTCATTAAAAAGGTATATATCATATATATATACTATATATATATATATCTATATATATCAAGTAAAAATATAATCGATGTAATTTTATATATATATAATCATATAAATTATATAATATTAACAAAAAGATTTTCACACACATTGCATAGTCAGCGTGATCTTGTACAAAGCGACAAAATATATCTGTCTACCAAGAGACCGATTAATGAAAAATAACAAGATATCTAAAGTAATTATCCATTTAGCTAAACTACCGGCTGGTGCCAGACAATCTTGCCGCTGAGGCAGCCGGATACGAGCAGATAGTGTTTAGGTGAGAATTTTGTGCTAACAACAATATCGGAATGACCAATGTGTGTCGCTAATTCGTGAAGCTGCACGGACTCGTTGGCAGGTGGAACGCAATTAGATAGCTCGGTGCAGTCACTCGAGAATGCTAGTAATCGTACCCCATAACCAAATGGCGAACATATCAATCTACCATCAGCCGAGAAGCACAGTTCCTTGATATAACCGGAACCGACATTGGGTTCCTCGATGTAATGCGTCAACCTAGGCGTATTCTGGTGAATCTTGTGATTCCTCGGTATCGCATACATAGTTTGCAGATTTTGCCGATTCTGCAAATTCTGCACCCGATTACGATCACCGATTATCACGACCGTGTGAGACGATCGAGGAACGCTCACGCCGTTGTTCGATCTAGGGAGCCAGTCTCTCCTTTCAGCACCAGGATAAAATTGTCTCTCTCGCTCCCTGCGAAGTCTGGTTTCTCTGATTGCTACAAGTGCCTCCCATACATCAGTTGAACTCACATGCAGTTCTACATTACCACTGGTGAAATTGTCGATCATATTACGTCGCCGCAAGTCATTGAGCTGAGAGTGTGGTCTGGGAGATCTGTATTCCCGCGCATCCCTTTCAAGAGCAGACACATCATATGGCGAGCTGTCGTTATCATCTACGTTCTGGTCTTCTGATCTATCGTCGTCATGAATCGCATTTACTCTCGAATCGGCGGCGGCGCTTGTACTTGAACTGACCTCAACCATGTCGAAATTCGTTCTCATCGCGTTTCTATCCGGGCGCGGACTTCTCGATTGGGAACGTAAATTTCTGCGCGCTGTTACCTGCCAGCTTGTTCTCGACGATCTAATTGATGACGGCGCGGCGTCCATGGACACGCGGACAGATGAATCAAACGAATTTGATCTTACATCCGATACGTCGTGTACTATCCGGGCTCGATTTCCATTCTCTATCACAAAGGAAGACGTCATACCCGAACGCGACGCTTGCGACTGAGGAAATTCCTCAAATTCCTCTACGTTTAGACTCGTTAGCCGGCCCTCTTCTACCTCATTGACTTGTTCCATATTGCTGGATGCCTGGCGTTCTTGTATATCGTGAATACAAGTCCACTATAGAATAAAACTTATCAGCAGATAGTTGATAATGCAATGCACGATTTAACAAGCAGAAACAAACCTCCGACTTTTCTCCACTGCTGACGTTTCGGGACAAAGCGCACCATCCTTGGGGGTGAACTTGTAAACTGGATATTACCTCAGCGTCGTCGCCTATAGGAAAATCGGTAAGAAACTCTACTCTATTATGAGTACGAGTATGAGCAAAGAGATGCGTGTAAGATGCTGCGATTGGTATGGTAGTTTGAGATAACTGCATTAGTCTATACATATTTGGCTGCAAAAATAAAATAATAAGAACGACTGAAGGTCATCAAGTTAACAAGCATTAAAGCGTAATTGGAGAAATAACAAATACCTTGAATCCTACCAAATCCTGACTTAGCGTACTAAGTTTAAGATTATGTATTACAATGAGATATCCTGAAGTAGTGCATATTAACATTTTGCTAGTATCGGGAGTAAGTCTTGTTCGCATTAGTCCATTTGTATGAAACACACGATTGTACACAAAACTATTTTCCGTAAAGCTGTAAGGTATTACAAAATACATGATTAATTATACAATATGGATGTTACATGAATTAAATTACAGCAATTAAATATCTTACCTATTAATGTCCCAAGTATATATGCTACCATCAAATCCACTGGTCAATAATAAGCTATCACTCGGACTGTACTCTATGTTTTTAACCCAATTTGAGTGTCCCTGAAGAATTCTTATCCTTTGCTTTAAGTTCCTGGCGTCCCATAGAGCAACTGTACTATCGTCCGAACAAGTCGCAAACATACGCTGATCCAAGAACCTAATTGACAACAATGAGTTTATTTATTTATTTTTTTTTTTTAGTTAAACTTCTTACACAGTTTACCTCTTTTCTTTTTTCTTCAACATGAAGAATGAAAAAAAAAAGATGAATCATGTAGGAAGTTTAGTGAATAAGAACACATATAATATTCGTCTCTATTATTAATTTTTTTCTTCCAACTTTAAAGAATATCCAATGAGAATTGTCTAACCTTACGCAATTGACGCAGTCACTGTGAGCATTATCTATCGCATGTATCAATTTCCTACATAATGGGTCAAACATTAAAATACTTTTCTTCTCACATGCTGCCAACAAAAGGGACCTGCAATATTGATCAAACGTAAGACCAAGCGGTTCTAATCTGGAGGTCCTGATAGACATGACTCTGCAGTCACTACTAACCCATCTGGCGAGTATTCTAAATTGAATACACCGCCGTGTCTTGCGGCAGTCAGATTATCTCCGTGGTCCCATGAAGTAATGGGTTGAATAGAGGAGTAGAGAGTCTTGTGAAAGTCATCGCTGTGACCCAGCGGGAACCTCACACCCAGCTCGCGTTGCCTTAACCAAAGACTGTTCGGCGTCTGCTTGATTCTTATCTTCGGCATCTCTCAGCCAGGTGTTGACCTCAGCCGCATTCAATCGAACGTGTCAGCCGGCTTACTCTGGTGACGATCGGTGGATTGCGCGACCGGATGAACGAGGATGCGAATCCGGGACCAAAACGCGCTCCAACCAGAACTCGGACAATTTGTCAGGTCCTTCGACTTTCCGTTTCTTTTTCCCTTCGCGATTAAAGTGGATTAAAGCGTTCAGTCGGCACCTTTTCCACACCTCGTAGCAAACTCGCGGTGTCCCATGAGGAAAATCGAAAACTCCAACAAACGGTTCAAGGTTCAACGGATGACTAGGTTAGGTGCGAAACGCTACGCGCGATGTTACACGTGACTTACCGCGGGTATCGCCGCACGATATTCAAGGGTCGCAACACGATCACAGCGTAACGCGAAAACAGCGGCGGGCGATCCGGTTGCCCACGTCGTGGTGTTTGACAGATAAAGTATTCCGACAGAGTTCAAATCAATTTTAAAAATCTGACATAACACAGACCAGCGCCATCTTTGCTGCTGATCGTTGGCATCGCTGTCTGTCATCATATCGACATCCAACATCGACACATATCGATATCTGTAATCGACATCAGTTGATCGTCATCGCGACGAGTGCGAGTCGCATGATTGAAAACATCAAGAACGTAAATGCATATTCTGGAAAGAGGAAGAGAAAGTGTGTGTGCGATAATGCGAAACGTAATTAAGGAAAAAGGTACATCTCTTCGCACGTGCTTTCTGTTCCTTAAGTATGCCTTTTTCTTTTGTTTTTCACCTAAATTAAAATCTAAAGCTATATATATATTATACATTCCAAACATTCGAAAAGTTTACTCGATATAATAAATATAAAAAACTTATATATATTCTCATGAAATATAAAATACAAAACATTTTTATATGTTTCGCTAAAATACAAGATACAATTGTCTTACAAATATACTGTGTGTTCTTCAACTAAAAGTATTTCACAAACACATGCTCAGCGTATAAAATTATAATACATAACATATATCAAAATAAAAATCACAGAATGTAGAACGTTAAATTCTATTCTGAAATTTAATACAAAATTATGTATAATATGGATATAAATGATATATAAATTGTGTCTAATAACTCTTTTATGTTTAACTCTATATATACTTGCCCAGATAACACAATAATGGTTAAAAATGCATTTAAAACGTACATTGGACGTTTTGGACATATTAAAAACATCCAGATTAAATCCATGGATATTTTAAACACGTTTTAAAAAAACATCACATGTTGGACTTCTTAAAAACGTCCATCTTAAGACGCAATGGATTAAAACTAGACTAAATTAATATATTAAACAAATTTAGACACAATCCAGATTGTACGTTGGAAACAATATATTCCAAACTCTTTTATCACTGCGAGCAGCAAGCTATTGTTGCTCGACTTTTGCCGCTTGCTGCGTGCTGTGTCTGACCTATAAGCTTTAATTCAGTAAATTTTCGCATTTACAAGTCCATGGACCAGATTGAAACCAAAGTCTAGATGTCCAATGGATTTCCTGTGCAGTCTGGGTGCATAATTAACGATCTTATTTAGCGATACAATTTCACATTGTTCTTATTTATAGTTGCGGTATTTAAATGCCCACAATGAGTCTAGTCAGTCATATGATGTAATGATTATGTGCATTTGTAACGTAAATCTAAAACAATATAATTATGTATCATGGCTGTTTCATGCGAAGAATACGGAGTTCCCTATTCTTCGTCTGATATAACATCCACGTCGAACTTTAGGCCAGTCCCGCGTAAATGTTCCTCCGTCCATTTGTCGAATCGTCGAGCGAGATCCTTTGACATGTAATTCGTCCAATCGCCGACTTTACCCTTCCTGATAAATTTGAAATTTGGATCAGTCTTCGTCTCCTCCTTATCTAATAGTAGTTGTACGTTCACTGAAGGATTCGCTGCCATTTTAGAAAATTTCAGATGTTCGCACAATCCGGTAACCTGCTCGTCCGTCACGTTTTTGCCTAAAAATTTCGCTGTCTTCTTAATTGCTGTCATCTGATCCTGCAAAGCACAATGCGTAATTCAACAAGAGAAATCAAATAAAGATTTATTTCGAAAACCAATTGTTTTACCCGTTTCATTTCTTCATACGTGAGAAATAATATGTTAGCTTGATCTCTCGACTTCCAGAAAGGCAGGATATGATCCCAAAACGGAGAAAACGGCACTAAACAAACGTTATTTCTGTCACTCAACTTTTAATTTCAATGTCAATTTTGATATTTTAGCGTCATTTTATCCAGACAGCACAGAATATTTATGATAAATATTTGTAACTATTCATTTTTTTTTTGAAATGTTACATAAATATTTTATATATATTTTATATAAAGTTTTATTTGAAATATTATTAAAATATAGACTAAATATTTTATGTAATATTTATGATAAATATAAATAAATATTTCCAATAAATATTTTTTACTTAAATTATAATATCTTATTAAGATATTTACAAATATTTTGTAATATATATTTTATATATAAATTTTGTATGTTGTCTGGATTTAAAAACAAATTTGAAAGACATACAATAAAATACATTCAAAAGTTTATGCAACAAAAGTTTGTCGAAAACGTACACATAAATTTTTAAAAAGTATTTTTGGAGAGCTTATTAAATTGTGACGATTAACATATCCTGACTCAATAAATTAAACATACCACTATCACGCAGCATTAATTCTGCAAAATCGTCGAAGCTTCCATTCATACCGTGGAATACTTTGCAATAATAATAATAACTGACGCAGACGTCTTTTGGATTTCTCGTGATATAAATTACCTGCAAAAAGATAAATCGATGTAAAAGAAAATAATATAGCTCTTCACATACGCGTTGCATTATCACCTTTGGTTTTTTCTCGTGAAATTGCCGCGGTAATAAGTCCCAAGGTAAATGAGTTTTAATGTATCGTGGTCTTGGCATCTTTGATATATTTTCGACGGAATCACCCAAATCTTTAAACCATTCGTCATACTTCCCGTTAACCATGATAACCGAACCTCTGCCGAAGGAAGACATTTAGAGAGTGATAAAAGATACTAAAGTAGTAATCTATTATTATACTGTCATATATAATATTAAAAAAATATTGTACAATATTCTTAAAATATTATTGTATAATAACTTATTTTAATTTTTTAATAATATTTATATATATCGTTCTAGAAATATTTTGCGCCTATTGGATAACGTCTGCTTATTATCTGGGTAATGCAATTTTTCTTGCAATTTTACAAAATATTGTTTCAACTCGAATCTAATACTTACTCGAGCGTAGGACTTCGCTTTAATATGATTGTGCGGGCTTCTTCGTAATCAAAGTCGTGCCCGATGCACCATGACATTTCTTGTGCCCAGTGACTTCCTGAAAGTCAATCAAGAAGTAATTTAATACTTAATCTATATATCCGCGTTAACGAAGAAATTTGTTTGGTCAGAAGTCACTCTAATTATACGTAAAATCTTTTTCATTTCAGATATAAAAGCCAGCTTATTTTTTTTATTATTACACAACCATGAAATTTATTTAGAATTATTTATTAAATTGTGTTATTAAAATTTTTACCAGTTCGAGGAAACGAGATCATCCAGACGTCGTCCTCGTATACCGGCATGTCACGTATTTTCTGCGCGTAAAAGATAATTTTTGGCGGCAGCAAGCAGCAACTGGGTTGCACCTTTACGAGACTCGGCTTCAATCCAAATACCTCGTCTAATTTTTCCGCCGTCTCGTCATCCATAGTCGAGAACACGATCGACTTTTTAGCCACTGCAAAAAAAGAACCAATTCAGTACAAAAATGAGTGATTTAAAAAGATTTGCTGTGACAATTGAGACGATTCTATATCTGACTGTCACTTTTATTCCTTATTCACAATAAAATATGCAATAATAAGGAAAAGTTAATGTGATCCACTATTAGTTATTCGTGTGTAATTAATGTATTAAATAAATCAGGGTTTAAACGCGTTTGTATCTATATTTAATACACATTAATTACTCACGAATAACTAGTGGTGGTTCACATTGGCTTTTCCTTATTATTCTATATTTTATTGTTAGTTTATCTGTGGAGCTTTTTATTTATATCTTAATTTATTTGTTATTCCTTACTATTTATATCCTTCAGATACCAATATGCGCAAATTTAACGCGAATTCAAATATGGACTTCACACACTCGGATGTTGTTGCACATGCGACTTGCAGAGAAATGAGTGTACCACCCATGATGACCCACTGTCGGCTGGGATACTTTTTACCGGTTCTATTCCTTTTTCCTGTTTACGATGACTTTCGTACTTTCATATTTGCCATGTAAATAAAATGGTCAGTTTTGTTTATATAGCGTGCATTTATGATCGTGAAGTATATATCTCAGGATCGCAAATACTAGTGTAGCACACTGAGAAAAAAAAAATCCAAATTCAAAAGAATATTTTTTTGAAAGTAAGATTTTTTTTTCTCAGTGTGCACATATACATGTTTGTATAGTCTCTTTATCCATGATTACAGAAAAACATTTTTTTAACATATTTTTTTAATATTGTGTGCTGAAGCACGAATTATAGTTTGTATTAAAAAAAATTCAGGATAGAATTTTGTTTATAAGTTTATCTGCATTTCAAAAAGTAATACAAAAAAAATATTGATAAATTAGAAACTTATCCAATTATATACATATCCGCGAAAATACACGATACATAATATAATTTTGCAAATAAAATTTTACATTAATTTAAAGAATTTTTTAGGTATTTAAAGTGGACTTAATGCATATTATTTATTCTTTTTTTAATGTCTTCCTTTTTTCTAATATACCGCAAAGATGATTTCTTATCAAGTAATAACCGACGAAGAATTATTATGGTAGGAAGTGTAGGTAAAGTGTGAATAGTATTGTGCATGTTTAAATTATTTTGCGACGTTATTAAC